GGCGGCGGCGCAGAGGCCGCCCTGCGCGGAGCACTTTCCCGCGAGAGGCCCCGGCGCACGCTTTCCGCGGGGGCTCCATGCGAGCCCCTGCGCGGGGGCCCCGACGCCGCGGACCTGTCGCGCCGCGACTTCCGCGCGCCTGCGACGCTCGCCACCGGGCCCCGCTCGGCCCGCCAGGTGGCGCAAGGTATCGCCACTTCGCCCCTGGAGGCGACCGCGGGCAGCGACTGCGCCTCGTCGAAGTCATCTGGGAACTGACTCTGCCTCCCTCAATTCCGCGCCGACCTCCGTTGACGAACTGCTGCGGGCCCGCGGCGAACGACGGGCGCTGGCCCTCCGCGCCGGCAGCGGGGCACCGCGAAGATTTCGCAACGCGGGCGCCCAAGCTCTCGCGCGCGGCGCCGCTGCAAGGGGGCGGGCGCCGGCGAAGCCCGGGCGGCGCCGCTGCGAGATCAGGGGCCCCAGAAAACCAACTCGGAAGGGGGGAACTGGCGAGCCGCCCGCGAACTTCGCTGACTGCAGGGATCCCAGCGGGCCAAAGCGCAAAGGGCGGCCGCCGGCAACGGAGGCGAACGAATGTCCAAACGCAGCATCAAAAGACGAGTCCGAGAAACCCGGCGAGGCAAGCAGCGGGGCGCCCAACCCCCGAAATACCCGCCACGCGCGAGGCGCGCCTGAAACGACTGGCCCGCCAAACAAACGGCATACCCCGGGGGCGGCGCGGCGACCGCGGGCGCGCAGAGTTCGGTCGGCAGCGAAACCGCGGGCCACGGGGGTGAGAGAGAGAGAGAGCGAGAGAGAGGGAGAGAAGAAGAAAAAGAGAGAGATATCACACACACATACATACATATATATAGATATATATAGATGTATATTTGTGTATTTAAATATAAAGCATGATCAAGCCCATTGACACCAACAAGAGCTCACTATGGTTAGTATACATACATATGTACATCGTGTACTTACATGTATACATGTGCACTTACAAAAGCAATCAGACAGAGACAGAGAGGGAGAGAGAATTAGAGGGAGAGGGAGATATAGCGAAATATAGAAAGAGAGAGAGAGAGAAGGAGAACAAAGGACAAGAGCACAGAGAAAAAGGGAAAGGGCGATGAGCAATCAGAGAAGGAGAGAGGCGAGAAAGAACAACAACTCTCTCTCTCTGACTCTTTATGAGTTCCTCCTCGCTATAGATATGCACGCGCGCGGTCGCGCTCGAGGTGGCCTGGCCCGGTCGAACATGGAAACGAGGAGCTGCCCGGCGCCGGGCGCGCCGGCCGCGTCGCGAGCACGGCCCGGAGAGTGCAGCTCGACGAGCGGCCCCGGTGCAGGGCGGTGGCGGCCGAGGTGCGCTCCGCGCCCAGGCATTACCAGCCTGGAACATATCCCCATCCCTATGCTGGGCACCTCCTCATCGCGATGCCAATCTTAGGGATGCCCTTATTTTTGGAAGGCGAATCCCTAAGATTGTCATCGCCTTTTGGCGTGTCAATCTGAGGGATAGGGATGCGTTCGAGGCTGGCAACATGCGCCTCGCCCCCGTGGGCAGGTGGGCGGCTTGCCAGGTCGACGCCGCCGCGAGACACTGGCCCGAGGCGGGCCGCCCGATCTCGTGCGCGCGGAACCCGCGAGACACCCCCGCGCAGTCTTCGCGCGGGGCACAGCTTGCCGGACGCGCGCTCTCGCCCGCGGGGCGGGGTGCGAACGCGTCGCCGCGAGAACAAGCTCCTCCGCAACCGGCTCGCACGAAGCACCTGCAGGGCCACGGTCGTGGCGGGCTAGCACCGCCGCGCTGAGGCGTGGGCGAAACGATGGCACGCTCTCCTCTTCTTCACGATGCAACGGCGGCCCCCCGCACTGCAAGACATAACCCATCTCGCCCGAAGAAGGCGCAGCTGCTCGATCCACCATCGCCATGCTTGCCCTGGACGTCGAACTGATTCACCAAAATCGCGTCGGGCTCCCCGGCCACCTCCAGGTCATTGCACACGAGGGGGTGCTCTATTGCAGCCGCCCAGGGCCGAGAACGCAACGCGCGGTGACCTCCGCCACAATCGTGCTCGAACCCAACATGATATGCGAAATGGGGAGGGCTGGCGATCAAGAGTGTTCGATGAAGGGTAGCAACAGGAGGTGTTGAAACAGGACATGGAACAGGATTAGCAACAGCTTGACGGAGGAGAAAGCATCCCAAACTCCAACCAGCCCTCTTAACTGTACTGCGAGTAGCTTGAATCGTTTTTGGCTCCGACCCTTTACGTCCAACCGGGGGTAGGGGGGGAGGAAGCGGCAAAATGGCGACGACAGGGTCCAGACTCCAAAACGGCCCGTAGACAGCTCCGTCCAAAACCGTATATGGCTCCCCAAGATGGGACCAAATTGCTCCCTGAGATGGCAAACGGGTCCTGGGATGGATGCGGCGCGGTTTCACGCGGCCTCAGTAGCGGCCGAAATCCACCCAAAACAACCTCACGAAATGATCTCTGGAGGAGTTCCACAGGGGAGGACCAAATTGAGACCCCCTCCTTTTCAAATCAGCGAAGCTTGGAAGAAACCCAGTGTCACTGACGACCTGTATGCAGCCTCGAGAGACGTGAGATATTCCCCATTTGTCCTACGAGTAGCGCGCAGGGAGGGGAAAGGAACCCGAGCTCGGGGCAGTACGAATGGGGGCGCCCAGAAGCGCAAAAGGTGTGACACTGTATTGGGCTGGGGGCCCTGCCGCTGGCGTCGACGACGTCCCCCCCCTCCTCCTCCTCCTCCTCCTCCTTTTCCTCCTCCTCCTCCTCCTCCTCCTCCTTTTCCTCCTCCTTCTCCTCCTCCTCCTCGTCATCCTCCTCCCCCTCCTCTCCTCCTCCTCCTCTACTCCTTCCGGTACTTCATCCGTCTCCTCATCCTCTTCCCGGCGGGGGTGGAAGGGAGGATTGCGACGGACAGCCCCGGACTTGTTTCAATGCGGCTTCCAAGAGGGCGGAGCATCTCCCACGTTGGCCCCAGACGGGGAGGAATGGGCTGAACGTGGCCTCAATACGATAAAACGGTAAACTACGAAATCGGACTCTGTCGACTTCTCGTTTTATTCGTACAATCAGATCGTCTCGAACTGTATCACTGTTTCCTCCTATGTCGTCCCATCTCGTAACACATGTCCTATGTCGGCATAAGCCGCTTCGGCGAGACAGGGTGGAGCACCTGTGACCGCAGTGTACAACCAACGAGGGAAGACGGGCAGCCGAGGGGCAGATAGCCCAAGAGGCAGGCGATGGGGCCAGGCGAGACCAGAGCAGCGGGCGGAAAACCGACAACAAGCATAATCAATCATGAGGAGGAGGAGGAGGAGGAGGAGGAGGAGGAGGAGGAAGAGAAGGAGGATAAGGAGGAGGACGAGGAGGAAGCGGAGGAGGAGGAGGAGGAGGAGGAGGGGAAGGAGGAGGAGGAGGAGGAGGTGGAGTCAGCCAGCGACCGGCGGGCAGCCGAGGGGCCAGGCCCGACCAGGACAGCCGACGGACAGCCGCAAGCAGCCAGAAGAACCTTCAGAGACTCAGCCAGGGAGGGGGCAGCCAGAGGGGCAGCCAGGGGGGCTGGGCGGTGCCAGGGCAAGCCGACGGACCACCGCACACCCCCACGAACCAACCAGAATCACCGAAGCCACGCTCACGGCGACGCTGCTTCACGGTGGTGCTAGGCACCAGACCGTCGGAAATCACGAGCCACGCTGCCCTACACCTCCCAGATGCGCACGCATCGAGCGAAACCGACACAGCGAGCTGCAGGAACGTGCGAGCCACGCGTGCCCGCAGCACCGAAACCCACACCGCCGCTACCTGCATGGCCGCTGGCGCGTCCACGGACAGTCCGCCAGGGAATGGGGCAGCCCGGGGGGCACAGCGACCGGAGGGCGGCCGGCGGACCGGGCGGAGCCAGAACAACCGACGCACAAACGGAAATACCCTTAAGTCGAGCGTCCCCCAACAGGGATATTTTGGACGAGCAATGAAAAATACTTTCGACGAGTACACCCAAAATGCTCGAACAGATTAGAAACATCGTCCCCATACTTGTTTTGACTCTTTTTGAATACTCCTCTTGTAGAGGGTCAGGCCCGACTCAAAACTACCCAGGCGCAACCGAACACGGCAAGAGAAGGGGCACGCCCTGGAGCTACGCCTGCGCAACAAACGATACAAACGAGTAGAGACTCTTAAAATGTGAAGGCGCTCGGAGTCGATTGGGACCTGGGGTCCAACAGGCCGGCTCTCAATGACCGCGCATGTATTGCGATACCAGGCGCGACCAGGGCGATCCGCGGTCCCTCGAGGCGTGGGATAAGACACCGAACGCACACGAGCTTGTCACACGTTCTCAACCGGGTCGCGCCAAAAGAGAAAGGCCCCGCCCAGAAAGCCGTGGGTGTAACTCCCTCCCTCCCTCCCTGTCTCCCACCTTCCCTACCCGGTTCCCTCCCTCCACCCACCCTCCCCTCCCTCCCTCCCTCCCTCCCTTCATCTCTGCCTCCCACCTCCCTCCCGTCCCTCCCTCCCCTATACCTTCCCCGCCCACCCTGCCGCGCAGCCGCCCCCCCCCCCCACACCCACCCACCCACCCACCCACGGGGCCTTCAGGCGGTGCCGCCAGCCGCCGATCGCTGTCCTCAAACACCTCCCCCCAATCGGGCCTCCCCCCCTCCTCCTCCCCCCCCCTGGCCGCGCGGCTCGCCCCTCCCCATCGGGTTCCCGTTTTCCTCGCTGTCGCGGTTCTCCTCTTCCTCGTCCTACTCCTCCCCGCTCCATGTCTCCCCCCCCCGCCCGCGCCATTGCCCCTCAACTCCTGCTCATCTTCGACGCCCCTCCTCTCCTCCTCCTCCTCTTCTCCCCTCTCCTCCTCCTCCTCCTCCTCCTCCTCCTCCTCCTCCTCCCCCTCCTCCTCTCCTCCTGCCCGCGTTCCTCTTCCTCCCCCTCCTCCTTTTCCCCCTGCTCCCCCCCCCCCCACAAGGCCTCGGGCGGCCTCCAGCCGTCGAGGCATGGGCCCGCGCCCACGTCCTCGGCCTCCTCCGCCGCGCCCTCCGCGTCCTCGGGCGGGCGGGGGAAGCAGAGGACGGCCAGGAGGACAAGGAGACAAATTGATGAGGAGCAGCAGACAGAGGAAACGGAGGAGGCAGAGGATGATGATGATGATGATGATGCTGATGATGATGATGATGATGATGATGATGATGATGATGAGGAGGAGGAGGAGGAGGAGGAGGAAGAAACGGAGGAGGTCAGGTCGACGGGGGGAGGTCGAGGAGAAGCATACAAGTGAGGATGAAACACACAAAAAGCACGAACCAGACGAGGAGGAGGACGAGGAGGACGAGGAAGGGGAGGAGGAGGAGGAGGAGGAGGAGGAGGAGGAGGAGGAGGAGGAGGAGGAGGAGGAGGAGGAGGAGGAGGAGGAGGAGGAGGAGGAGGAGGAGGAGGAGGAGAGGGGGGAACGAGGATGTAGAGTGGAATCGGGAAAAAAGGGCGGAGGGCAAAGGAGGGGTAAGGAGGATAAGGAAGAGGAGGAGGAGGAGGCGGAGGAGGGAGAAGAAAACGGAAGGAGGGAGGGGGCAGAAGAGGCAGAAGAGGATGCGAGGAGGAGTTTCCTGGGGGCCCCTGAACAGCTCCGGACGCCTTCCATGGCATCGCAAAGGGACGGACCGAAACAACAGCCGAGTCATCAAACCTCGAGAAGGATTGGACACAGCTCGCTTCGCGGGGGGTCCTTGCCCAAGCTGTTGGAAGACAACCATTCGCTGAGGGGGCCGCTGGGCCTCCAGCGCGCTCTCGCGCTCCACCTCGCTTGCGCCAGATGTCGAACGCGCCCCCAGGACTCGCGCGATTCGACTGCGGGCGGAGGCCTCGGCGCATTCGACCGAGGCGGCACCGAGAGGCCGAGGGTTCAACATAGCCTCGGCGTGGCTCCTCCAACTGCCGACTGATGCGGTCCATGCCGTGCACTTCGCGCCGACGACAATCAGAAACAGCGGGGCCACTGATGACCCGGGTGTGGACTGACGCGCGGCCATCCTGCTGGGGGGCCGCTCAGAAAGCAAACTTGGGTCGCTTAAAAGGCATCCTGGCAAATCAAAGCCAGCTGCGCAAGTATTCGAAGCCCGCGCGTGGCAACAATGACAAATGAAAGCCCCTGATCCTGGGGCTCCAGGCGCCGCCGTCCATGCATGCAACCGCCCCAGGCCAATGTTGCGCGCGCAGGACATCCCGCGTCGTTCGGGACGGGTTCGCAGCAAGGCAAAGGGATCACCGCGCCCATCGCGCGGCCCACGGCACGGGCCTTACCTGTCAGGGCCCCCAGAGTTTGACGAACCTCAGGGCGCGTCCGATTCCCTCCTCCTCGGGGGGGGGGGCTGGCCGGTGACCCCCACGCTGCGGGCCAGCGAACTTCGCGCCCTCGAGCTGCCAGAACCCTCGACGGGGCCTCGCGCGCTCGTTCCGCGAACGCACCTGCTGGGAGGGCGGCTGGTTGCGCAACCTAACTGGGCCAAGGAAGCCATTGTGGAAATTGACAAACTGGCGCGCAATGGAACTGGCGCGCACAATCCCTGGATGCCCTGCCGCCCGGGGGATTGGGGGGTCTGGGCCAGACAAGCACTCGGAAGACTGCGGCCGCTTCCTTTGCCCCGTCAACAAAGCAGCCCTCTGCGTGGGCTTCCTTCTCGAGATCGCGACTTGGCGGTCTACTGCGCGCCGTGCCGATAACGACATCAGCGGCGCGAGCGAACGCCGCGAAATCTTCCCAGGCATGGCCATCTGGCGTTTCCAGCCCGTTGGCGGCGGCCCCAGCGTCGGGCGGCAGCGAAGCGGGGAGGTGCGCGGAGAGCCCAGGTCGGGCGCTCCCAACACCCACCAACTCGCATTTGCATCATGCCCGGGCGCCCCCCCCCCCCCCCCCCCCCCCCCCCCCCCCCCCCCCCACCCCCGCGGCGCATTTAACGTAGGGGCGAGGGGTGGTGCGCAATCCGTGGCGGAGTCCATCGCGCGCGCCGCGAATCGGGCGCAGTCCGCCGGGCGATCAGAGCGTTCTGACATCTGCCACACGCGAAAACAGCCCTGGAGAAGCATCTAGCTACCGCGCGCTTCTGTCGCGGCGTGTACTTCTTAGCGCGCGCGCGCTGCATTGCGCGCGGTGTCAGCGCGCGCGCCTCGGGGAAGTCGCGCGCCGGAGATGGCGCGCCGCGCTCGCGCCCGCGCTGCCCCGCGACGCTGCAGAGGGGCTGGGCGAGCAAAGGCGCCGCGTGCAAGAGAGATCTCCACCCCGCGATCGCCTGCCCGAAGCGAGGCCCCGCTGGCCTCTCGACCCGCAGGCGAGAGCACCGCGCGCGCAAGGGGTCGCTGGGGGCGCCCCCGCCCACGGCGAGGTTCAACCGTCGCCAGCGCAGCTAGGGGCGCGCGCGTGGGATCTCGCGCCGCGCAAGGCGGGCGCCCCCGCGCAGCCGCTGCGCGCCAGACCGCGGCGGCCGGCCGGAATGCAAGGGCCGCGCTGCGAGCTGCCATCGGACCACCGCGGGGCGCGCGCTCGGCCGCAATTGAAGGGGCCCCTGGACACACAAATAAATACACACAAATAAAAATATCCCCCATATTTTCCCATATGTTCTGGGTTTCTGTCTCCCCCCCCACTTCCCATATTTTCCTATATTTTCTGGGGGTTCGAGGATAAATTGCGTCTGTGTGTTTCTTTTCCCCTTGAGCAGTGGGCGCCCCGAAGTGCGCTGAGGGGGCGAGGGCTGAGCGGCGCTGCGCGGGCCCGCTCCAGATCGTAGTCGCCCGCTGAGCTGCCGCGCGCCAGCGCGGGCGCGGGCCCCGCGGAGCAAGTGCACACTGGCCGCGCGGCGCCCCGATCTACAGGAGCACTCGCGGGGGCGTCGGGCTCGCGAGCGCGGCGCTCGAAACCGCCGGGAACGATTGCTCCGTTTGCAAAGTTCCCTCCTCGCTTGCTCGAGACTGTGCCGGCGCGAAACCGACCCCAATATTGACCGTCGAGTTAGCGACAGTCACGCGCGCAATCGCAATCACCGCGGCATTCGAGACGTCGGCCTTTAACTCGGAGGCGAACGTGCGATGGGAATCCAGAGCAGCCGCAGGGGCTGATCGGAGCAACGCGGCCACGTCGCCGGTCGCCGCAATCGCGCCATCGTCGACGCGAAAAGATCGCCGAACCGCGGGGACACATGCCGCGAGATCATCGCAGGCACCGAGGGCGCGCGACATGTCGAAGGCGCCATTGCACATTGAACGCACCGCCTGTCAGTAGGCAACGCCAATTAAAAGAGCGGACGCATGGAACCCGAACCCCAGTCGGCCAGCCTCGGAAAACGCCGATGGTTGGATGCGCATCGCCAGGGAAATGACCAGGGACCCCCAGACGATGAGCTACCTTCTGAAGTATTTCAAAATCGGGTGATTCTACGTGCGTCTTACCATCCCACGGGGCCCCGAAAACCACCTGGCCCTCTGCCGCCGAAAACTCGGACGCGGCCACTGCGGCCCGCGCGCAACGCTCAGCCCCCGATTACCCAACGCGCGCACCCCGCTGCTGCGGAACAAACATTCAAGCCACGGTCGCCGGGGGCGCCCCCGCGTGCGCGCGCTGCTGGCGAGCGGGGGAATGCCCCGGCGTCCACCGGCAGACTCGTCAATTCGCTGAAACTGCACCCGCGTGAAATGCCTTGGTTTAGTAGGCCTAACCGTTTCGACGTTTTGCGCGGCGCGCGGAGCCTGGAAATGCCGTCGCCTCCAGAATGCACGTGCGCCCGGGGTGGGAGCCATCGAGGGTTGAGGCCGCGAACCCGCGCGATCTTTGGGATGCGCCGAGCACCTCGTCGACCGTGGCCTGAGGAGTGCAAGTCGCATGGCGCAGCGCGAACGGCGTCGTCAGCCACGATGCGAGACGCCATGTGCTCTCGGGGCCCAAGCCTCGGTCCAGCAAGTGGAAGTGCCGGTGGATCTGCGCGCGCGCCATAGGCGAATGCCGACCGTTTCGGCACGCCAAAGCGAGGGTGTCGCCAGAATGGCTGATGTTGGACGCCGTGCCACTGCGGGTACACCCTTACCCTGATAAGCACTCGGATGATATCAGGCGAAGCCGTGAGCGCAACAAAAGTGGTACCCAGCGTCGCCATGGCAACAAGCAGACCAAAGGGTGCCATCACTAGCAGAACAGCCTTTCGCGTGAAACTGCTCTGCTCTATGGTGGACGCCTCAAGGCGCGGCCTGCTCAAGCAAGCTGCGAATACGACGAACGCGAAGTCGAACTTCCCACAAACGTGAGAAGGCGCATACTAGAGGCACCCACGGAAATGCGCACGTGAAAATTAGCGAAGTCAGCCACAAAAGAGAAGCACCCAACACACAGGAATGTCCTCCAACGCGGAGATGAGCAGGCCCTTGACCAACTCGCAACCAATGGGATTCCATCGGATGCCAAGCTGCAGCAGGAGAAACGAGCGACCACTGCAAAGTGAGAACCATGAGCGCACTGTATGGAGAGGCCGCGAAGGACCATGAAGCCCAGTCTCTTAGCTCCACGCAGAAGGTATGATGGTGCCTGGGGCTCTGTGGCAATCTCCTGAGCACGGACAACCAGAGAACCAGACATGCTCGAAAATCGGTGGCGGTGCCGAAAGGCGGGGACCGCAATCTGTTGGGTTAGAATTGACTGGGGAGGGCGACGGCGCCCCGGACAAACGGGACACGAAATCTGTCGGAGACTTTACCGTGGAGGTGAATTCCCTGAGCTGTGGGACAGCCAAAACTTTGGAAGATGCGAATTCGCCGGCACAGCGGGCCAGAGGCGTGCCAAGATCTCCGGTAACAAAGTAAACATTTAAACAAATTCGCGCGCGCGAGGCGGCCCCTGAGGGGGCCCGCCAAAGTCCCAGCAAGTGCCCGTCAGAGATGCCGGAGGCCCCCCAGACGGCCCAAGAGGCGCCCAAGACGGCCTTACGAGATCGCCCAGACGGGTCCAAGAGCCCTTCGAGTTCTCGAAAGATCGGCCGACGATGCCCAAGATGGCCCCACGACTGCGCAAGAGGCCGTTCAGACGCTTCAAGAGGCCTCAAGAGAGCCTCAAGAGGCTCTCCACGAGGGCCCCAACAAGCAAGAATCGCCCCGTTCCCTTTCGGAAAACGTACACATGTTTCGCATGTGCGACGTTTCTCTTTTACCCGCTTTCCAACGCTCCAAGACGGCCCAAGACGCCCCAAAGACCGCCCCAAGGCGGTCCAAGAAGCCTCCAGGAGGGCCCCAAGACGGCCCAAGATGGCCCCAAGACAGACCAAGAGGCACCCAAGATGGCCCAAGAGAGCCCCAAAACGGCCCCACGAGAAGCCCAAGACGGGGACCAGGAACCGAAAAGTCCAGCCTTCAGCCCCAAAATGTCCCCAGGAGGCCCCAAGAGGTCGGTCCCCAAAAGGCCCTAAGGGGCCCCCAAGAGGAACCCCAAGAAGCCTCAAGAGGCCCCCAAGAGGCCCCAAGAGGCCCCAACAAGGCCCCCTAGAGAACTGAAAACTGCTTCCCAGAGGCCCCAACACGGCCCCAACACGGCCCCCAAGCGGTAGGGCAACATGGGCCGGCTGAATGAGCGAAGCGATTGAGTAAAGGTCGGTCTGGTCGGTCAGGGTTGCGACGGTCCTAGTCCCGACGTCTTGGCCCCCCCTGATACCCAACGCCCCCGGCGTCTACTCGAAGGCCTCTCGTCCCCCCGTGCCGCCGCCGCGTGTAACTTCTCAGCGTCCTCCTGCGCAAACCTTTTCGAATGCTTGAGGCATCTGCCGATCACCAGTGACCTTCAGGCCGTGCAGCTGACGCAGATCCTGCAGGCGCCGCGGGGATTGGCTGTGTCTGGCGTAGGAGGCCATGGAGCTTCGCGAAGACTGGGCTTGACAAGGGCTCTTGTTCGTCAACCTTAGCATCAAGGGCTTCGGCTGGCAATTGGATGTGGAAAGCGGGTGTCGTACCTTTGTCTGAGGACTCCGCTGTTCCAGACATGATTCGTCGCACCTCCACTTGAGGCCGCCTCTGTCTTCTGAATGTTGGACTGGGCTTTATGAACCACCTCGGTGGCCTTGGCTTGGCTGGCGGGAGCCTCCACACAATCGGTCTGCCTGCCCTGCGCAGCCTGGGGGCGAAAGGCCACCTTGGGGTGCTGCTGGGGTGCAGGCTTCGAGATGCACTGGGCACTGCGGGCCCCGCGGCGCTGCTGATCCTGGAACTGCTCGGCGGGGTCGGAACCGCCGACGTCTGCCATCAGCAGCGTGCCTTCTCCGATAACTGGATACGTGCAGCAAGGAGAACGCCAGCATCTGCTTCCATACTGGCACTGCCCACTTGAGAAATGGACGTGGCCCCTGCTGACACCGACGGAAGGATCCTTGGAAACCCGCTCTAGCGCCTGATCGATTTCCTTCTCGAACGCAGCAGTGATTTTCGCCACCAGGTCGACAGGTGGGGGTGCGCCTGGCGCCCACGTCCTTTTCGGCACACGTGCTGAACCCTGCGAAGGTTGCTTGATCCACACATTCTCATTCTTGTGTGCTGCCTGAACCATCGGAGCAGAAGCAGCATCACCACGTAGACATTTGATCGGACAAGCAAAATCCGCAGTAAGAAACCATTGAGAACAAGACAGAAGAGGCTGACGGAGGCCTCGGATCACAGAACCATCTCCAGACATCTTCTGCACGAGAGCTGTGGGCGGCAATAGAAGCGAAAAGCGTTGGCCAACCGACGCAGGCCGTTTTGAATAGATGCGTCGACAACGCCCTAGGGTGCATCTAACCCTCGAACGCAGAAAGACTGAGGAGGAGGGGGGGAGGAGAGCAAGGAGGCGCGCGAGGCGGGACGGAGGGCAGCTGATGAGGAGGGCAGTGGGGGAGGAGAGCGAGGAGGGGAGCGAGGAGGACGAGGGTGAAGCGGCAGGGCCGCTCCTTCTGCTCGGCATCCGCGTCCGTCTCGGCCTGATCCTCTGGCCGCGGGTCTTTGCCCGGCTCGGGCTCCCCCTCATCCGTCTCCTCGCCGCGGGGGGGGGGAGGGAGAGCGAGGGGCGGAGGCGAGGGTCCAGGCTGGAGAATCCACGAGGCCTCCGGACGCTCTCGAGCGCTCTCGGCCCCGAGGGGGTCTTCCAAGGGTTCCCGAGCGGCGGAAAGTGCACACACGGAGGATCGGATGTTCTGCTTGTTGAACCCTCCAGAGATCTCGGCGGCTCCCTCGGTGGACGCCCCATGGGCAACGAAGGGAACGGGGGCGGGAGCATCCTGCTCCTTCTGCTTCGCCTGCTTCGTCTTGCCCTTCGTCGCCGCCTGGGTGCAAATCAGAGCTGGTAAAAGATGGCTCGGACTCTGCTCATCCGCTCCGTGGCTTCCACCCCTGCCTTCATCGAGCTGTCGCTCTACCCAGCTTCCTCCAGTATTCAGACTCCTCTCTCTCTCTCACTCTCTCTCCCTCACTCTCTCTCTCTCTCTCTCTCTCTCTCCTTCCCCCTCTCCCTGTTTATATGGCTTGTGTGTTCCTCTATCCCTCTCTTGTTTCTGCATATATGTAGATGTATGCATACATTTGTATATGTGTAAACATGGTACCATGATATATATATATATCCATGTATCTAGATATGTACACCGATGAACCGATGTACATATACATATATATACATATATATATGTATATATATACACACACGCCACAGTGCATGCACAGAGTGGGGCGAGTCAGAATGCTCGTTTGTGCGGTGTGGGCTGCCTTGAACGTTTTCGAAGGCCGCCCTTCTCGTCCCACGCGTGGTTGAGAAAAAAACGTCGGCCCTGCAGTTGCTCTCCGGCGCTCTGTTCGGCCTCCAGACGGCCAAGGTGGTTTCCAATATGACTCCCAAGACAGCCCAATGATACCAAGGCGGTCCAAGATGGCCCAAAACGGCTCAGGAGGCTCCCAAGATAAAGACGGCTCAAGAGGGCTTCAAGGCAACCAACAAGGGGTTCGAGAGGCCCTCCAGAGAGTTCGAGGAGGCCTGCCCCAAGGAGTTCGACGGATTTTGATGTTTTCGCCTGTTTGGGTTCCCGACCGCTCAAGACGGCCAAAGAGGGCTCCAAAATAGAGAGCACCTAGAGTGCCACAAGGCGGCCCGAGAGGACCCCAAGATCTCATAAAAGCTCCCAAGAAGGCCCCAACACGTCTACAAAGCGCTTCAAGAAGGCACCAGAATGAGCCTGAGAGTCCCCCAAGACTCTCTCCGAAGGCGCCAAACGGGCCAAGAGCTTCCTAAAACGGGCAGTGAGGGCCCGTCCCCAGGCGGCCCGCAGGACGCTCCCAGGAAGCCCCTAGGAGGCTCCACGAGGGCCCAAAGAGGTCTCTTGCTCCTTGTCCTCAGTCTCCTCCCTCTCCTCGTTCCCCATCCTACTCCTCCTCTTTAATACCGCGCAGGCGAAGACGAGGTCGGGATCACGGCCTTCGCCAGTTCAGACTACTCGCTGGACTGCCGCGGGGCGTGACCTCGACCTCTTTCCTATCGCGCGTGCGACGGCGAGATCTATTTCACGACCCGTCAGCATGGAGACCGCTCGTCACAATCGTTCCGTTCCTACACTGAGCCTCCTTCCTGCTGCGATGTTGCACAGGCACGGTGGCGGAGCTTGCCGCATACATCGTACATACTTGTGTACACGGATGTGTACATATTCATATACACACACAACCACGTGTGTTGCTACGTGTGTATGTATGTGCACAAGTATAATATTGCATATCTATAATTATATGCAACAGTACATGTACATAGAGGTGTGTACTTACATATATTTGTAAGTGTATATATAATCACTGGTTTACACATCTACATCTACATGTGTGTACGCGTGCGTGTGCGTGAAAGGGGCTAGTTGGCTCGAGACCTTGTCCGCAAGGACTGCCGATTTATTTTACAGGTTGGAATGTGTGCTTCGCATGTGCAACCAAGTTTGACAGCAGGCTTGACAGGGAAACCATGCTTCAACCTCCATGGCCTCGTGCTGGCGTGTGCCGCTGCCAGAGGCTCCGGATCGTTGCTCGTGCTGTCTACCGCCCTGGCAGTGACTGTGCAGGCAGTGGGACGCCGTGCGCCCCGTCTTCAGACTCAGAAGTACTGCGGGATGACGTTTAACAAAAAAATGGGATATAACGATTTTAAACATAGTTTCCTGCTATTTCTGCACAGCTTTCTGACTGGAGGAGAACGATTTAAAAAATAGTTTTCCAGCCCGCGGCCAGTTTTTTCTAATCGTCATCCCGGGCGCCGCCGCGTGAACACGACCCCCGGTCATTTACTCATCGTCATCCTCCATTACCCAACCCGTTTGCACCACGCGAACCGCAAGAATTGGCCCAGAGTGCCACTGCTGGTGACACCCTGCGAGCCGTCGCATGCTGCGTAAGCTACCGTCGGGGCGTTGACCTAAGGAACCCTAAATAAGGAACCAGGCCCCTATTTTCCATAAGTGAAACTTCGATTTCCCATCGAAGACCTAAGGAAAACCTAAGACAAGCTGCGAAACAATTACGGATCACGGAGCCCCTCCCCAACGAAAAGGGTTCCTTCTCCAGGGCCCCGACTGTATGCTGCGCAAGCTATACGTGTGGTGCCCGCGCGCCGCGGGGGGCAGAAAACGGGAGGACGCGGGGTGAGGCCTCCGGGTGAAGGAGGAGGAGGAGGAGGAGGAGGAGGAGGAGGAGGAGGAGGACGAAGGGGGCGGGCACTGGAAGAGGGCGGAACGGGGGCCCGAACCCCAACGTCACGCAGCCTCGCCTCTTATCACGGGGGGTGGAATGATCAAAAAAACTGTGCCGCCCGAGAAAGTGGCCGAAGCCGGCGCCCGAATTTCCCCGACCGCCCCCGACAGTGACCGGAACGAACGTCTGGCTCGAAGCCTATGCAATTCTCAACTTCGGTCGCACTTTTGGTCGCAATACGTTTCTGTCACAATTTCGGGAACGTTCCGGTCACATGTTTCGGTCACGCACTGTTTGGGCTGATACGGGCCAGACACCATCATCAACGCAGGAGCAGCAGAAGGGGGGAGGAGAACGAGGACAGCAACGCGGGAACAGGGATGGCAAAGGAGGATGGCAAGTTTCGCTGATTGGCACGACGCCAGCGCCATGTCGCCTTGGCGTCCCGAGTGGTCAGCTGTTCATAACTGGTGCAAGACAAACAAGCGACGCCTCGGAACTTTGCAACACATTCGCAGTTCGCAGCCCCTCCACAAGGGATGGCGAGGTCAAATCTGATATGCTGTGCCACCTAGCAGCCCTTGCAAGTGGATGCAATTTCGCAGTTCGCAGCCCTGCAGGGACGGAGAGTTCTAATCCGAATCCCTGTGTGGCGTCACTGTGCTGTGCTCGAAAGTGGCGACGGTTTCGCAGCTCGCAGCCCCCAAGGGTGGCGAGGTCTAGTGTGAGTCCTCCTATGGCGTCACTGATCTGTGCCCACCAGCAGCACTCGAAAGTGGCGGCATTTTGGCAGTTTGCACCACCACAGGCATGGTCAGGTCTGATGGGACCCCCAACAGTCCTCGAACGTGGAGACAATCTTGCAGTTCGCAGCCCCCAGGAATGGTGAGGTTCATGCTTAGCCCCCATATTGCGTGACTGCGCTGGGCCCACCAGCAGACTTCGACGAAAGTGGTGACGGTTTCGCAGTTTGCAGTCTCCCCCTTCCCCCGAACGCTGAGGTCTCATCGGAGTCCCCGTATGGCGTCCCAAGGCTGCCCCCCCCCCCCAGCAACACTCGAAGGTGGCGACAGCTCCGCAGTTCGCGGCCCCCCACCAGGCATGCGATACCTATCCTGAGCCCGCGTATTCACTGACTATGCTGTTCCTGCCAACGGCCCTCGAAAGTGGCGACGGTTCCGCATGGCGAACGAGACCCCCAGGCATGGCGAACGTGTGCGAGACAGCAAGGCACAAGCGAGAAGTAGGAAGCGGGGGAAGACACGCAGGAGGAAACAGGAGGGGGGCGGAGGAGGATAAGTGAAGACCGCGATGCTCTGTTCAAACAAGAACCCAACTGAGGGTTTGGAAAAAAGGGAGGCGGGAGGAGAGACTCGCACGCGATGGTTCATCCAAGACAAGATCTTAACGTATGGTTCGTAAGCACATAGCTCCCATTGATTTCTTGAAAGCCAGCTACAACACATTGCCATCGACATTGAGCTGGCCTGGGCCTGCAGAACCAACCCCACGTCGGTACACTCAATGGAGGCGTCGTGCTTCTATACGGAAGCACTTGATTCTGAAGGCTGACAGTTGAACTTCCACGTGTCTGCAGAACGAAAAACGAAACTAAAGAACAGACCTTCCCGAGACCACGACCCCGCGAGAGCCCCAAGAGAGCCCCAAACACTCACCAGACGCCCGCAGACGACCCCAAGGAGACCCCATGACGCCTTCGAAGCACAGCAAACACACAAATTGCCAGTGGTTTTTGAATGATTCGGGGAATGCTCGGTTCTTCCGTTTCCCGGGCGTCCGAGACCGCCCAAGAAAACAGAAAATCATACAAAAACAACCCGGCGTCCGGCTGTCCAAGAAACTCCACGACGGCCCAATAGGCACCCAAGAAGCCCCGAAGAGAGCCCCATGACGGCCCAAGATGGCCCCAAGACGCCCCCCGAAGCATTCCAAACCGTCACCCGGTCGTTCAGGGTGATCACGGGTAGAAGCAGGGTGGCCCGAGGAAGCCCCCTGAGGCCCCTAGAAGGCGCCCAGGAGGCTTCCAGAGGGAGCTCTTACAATTGAGTGAATCCCCCCACGAGGCCATTAAAGGAGGAACCTACGCAAAAAAGAGCTGAGGAGGATGGGTAAGACTTCGCAGGGTTGGGCGGCATTACAAAAGAGGAAGAGGGAGCATGAGGGAAAGACACCGACAACATCCTTACCAGGACGATGTAGGAAACACACACCAAACAAGTATCGCTAAATAGTATGTTGCCCTTCTGGCCCTTTTGCCGGCATGTCAAACTTCAAGGACCAAGTGCATGTCTCGAAACCCCAATGCAGCCTTGTGCATATATACACGCATGTGTGTGTGTGTCGATTGATATGTATACAAGTGTGTATATATATACATATGTATATGGATGTATGTACGTACGTATGTGTTGTATGTGTGTATGTAAGTGAACATGCATATCTATATAAATGTACGTATGCATAGATGTGTATGTAGGTTTCTTCGTATGTATGTATATTCATACATATGCATGTGTGATCATATGTATGTATGTATGTATGTGTGTATGTATGTATGTATGTGTGTATGGATGGATGCATG